CTTCAGCTGTCACTATCCATTTAAAAGGTATAATAAAAGCATAAAAGCCCATATTACCCTGGTGCTAGCCTATTTACACTGGTCCCTGGTAAATTTCTCATTGATTTTAAAATTATATTATCACTTAAAGGCCTTGCTCCAAATGATATCATGGATTTATTGACTTATATTATTGGACGGTGCTCTGCTGGCTGCTTGTGACATAAACCGACCTTTGCACTTAGAGCCGTGAGTCACAAATGTGTTTCCATACGATTTACAGCAAAGGGTGCATATTACCAGTTGGACACTATGTAAGCTTTAGTTTTTCTTAAAATTTTTTTCTACATTGTTCATGGTTTATTGTTGTTATCTTTGCTCTTTTGTATCAACAGATTCTCTATTAGTCGCAGAAATTGTTTTCACTTGATCATTTTTTTCAGGATATTACATTTATGTGTTTTACTTCATGGGGTGCCAATTAAAATGGTGAGCAGGGGTGTATAGTTCATTATAAGGTTCAGTGCTGTGTTAGGGCATGTAGTGGGTATAATTTACAGATCTAGCTTCCTTGCTTCAACCCCCCTTTCAAGCATTGAGTGAAACCTGGTCGGCATCGAAACACACACAGATAATGTCCCTATCTAGAGCGTGTTTTGCTTAATGTAATGCCCAACTGTCTGCATTTGTAATCGGTAACACAACAATTCTTTTTTAGGTGAATTCATAAAATACCTATAATGTTATACACTGGCTTTAAAAAATTATGCCCACTTTTACCAGCTTGTGTTTTGTATTTTTTATTAAGTAATAAGATAGTTTATTATTAATTTCCACACTGGCTATGCTTTTCCTTTCACATTACGTTTTATTTGGTTATATTATATTTAATTGTTTTTATGGGTGCATGTCAATCTTAATTTATGGATAAACCATTTGAATTCTTGATATGAAATGAGGCAATTCGTCTGATATCACTGTAGGGGTTTACTACTTATATATAAGGTTAATTAGTCACTGACGTAATATTTAGATTCATAATGCGGCAACACTCCTTTTTTGCTACTGGATAATCGGAGGAAATTACATATACGGAGAAGATTAGGCCACAAAGATCCTAATCTTCTATAATTCTATCAATAAGCCCCAAACAATTGTCTCATCCACTTCAAAGCAAACGTAGTGTTTCTTTTACATACACCAATTCCTCGATTTCCCCGCATCAAAAATCAAAATGACACCCGACAAAGGAACATATATGGTTTATCATATGTTTAATTAACTAACCTAAGTATATGAGTAACATAGCATCGCGAAATGGACTAGCCTGCTAGACACAAATGCAACAACAAACAACAGAAATATGTGGCCATCACACGGAACCTGGACGCAGAAGAGCACGAGAGATCTGGCTACGCAGCGGAGCTGACCGCGTGCGTCACTATCCTCTGATGATCTTCCTGTTTTGGAGAATTCGTACACTTTTATTAACTGCTTATCCTATTCGTGTTTTAAGCTTTCGAGATCCATGATTCACCCGTTCCCCACAGAACCCACAATGACTTAATACACTACCTTACATGTTTCGAACATTAACATACATCACCTGCCCACCCAACCAAACGGCGCGTTTGAAAACTTACCTTGGATTATCTTTGGTACTCCATAGTGATATCAGAGAACAA